CCTCCCTTCCCCTCTCTCCTCCCAAACGCACGCATCCTTTGTTCCTCATCGCTCAATATCAATTATTGTATTTTAATTACTTTTTATGCCTTTATCTATCTATTTATGTACTCTTATCTACATGTGTTTTTTGTTTCACTTATACACCGATTTGTTTTTAGTATGTTTCGTCTAACTGTTCTTTGATCTCTCCTTCTCTCTCTCCTCTCTCTCTCTCTCTCTCTCTCTCTCTCTCCTCTCTCTCTCTCTCTCTCTCTCTCTCTCTTCTCTTCTTTCTCTTTCTCTCTCTCTCTCTCTCTCTCTCTCTTTCTCTCTCTCTTTCTCTCTTCTCTCTCTTTCTCTCTCTTTCTCTCTTTCTCTCTTTTCCTCTTTCTCTTTTCTCTTTCTCTCTTCTCTCCTCTTCTCTCTTTCTCTCTTTCTCCCTTTCTCCCTTGGCTTTCTCTCTTTCTCTCTCTTGCTCTCTCTCTTTCTCTCTTCCCTCTTTCTCCCTGTCTCCCTGTCTCCCTTTCTCCCTTTCCCTCTCTCTCAGGAATGACACGTAAAAAATAAGTAAAGATTAAAATAACAACAAGCAGAAAAATAAAAGAATAAGAAACAAGAAAAAGACCAAGAAAGAGAGAGAGAAAAGAGGAATGGAAGAGAGAGACAGAGAGTACAGCGAGGAGGGAACAGTGCCATAGCCCCAGGGAGGTCATTCCCCTTCTTCTCTCTCGTGGAGTACATTGTTAGGCTCCTTCCAGTGCCTCCCTCTCGCCCCTTCTCCTTCTCCCTCTATCCCTTCCTTTCTCCTCTCTAGTTTTCCTTTTTCCCTTCTTCTTTCTCTTTTTTTCCTCTTTTTCCTTTCTATTTTTTTCTTTTTCCCTCTCTCTCTTCTATTTTTTTCTCTTTTCCCCTCTCGTGTTTTCTCTCCTTCGAACTTTACTTCTCTCTCTCCCTCTTTCCTCTCTCATCCCTTCTCCTTCTCCCTCTCTCTCATTCTTTTCCCTCTCGCCCTTTTTCCTTCTCCCTCTCTTCACCCTCTCTCCCCTTCTCATTCTCCCTCTCTCCTCTTCTCTCTCTCTTCCCTTCTCCTTTTCCCTTTCTCCCCTTCTCCTTCTCCCTTTCTCCACCTCTTTCCACTCTTTCCTCTGTTTCTCTTCCCTCTCGCTCCCCTCATTCCTTGCATCATTTTCCCTCTCTTCCCTTGCCCCATTTCCCTTTCCTAAACTTGCCCCAATTTCTGTCTCACTCACATCTCTTGCCCCATCTCCCCTTCTCCTTCTCTTTTCTCCTCTTTCTCCCTTCTTTCCCCCTGCTATATCTTCCTTCTCTTCCTCTACTGTCCCCATTCTCTTTGGCGTCCCCTTTCTCTCTTCATCTTTCTCCTTTCTCTTACCTCTCTTTCTCCCTAAACATTCCCTTCCTCCTCCACATCATCATCATCATCAACCTCTTCCTCCTATTCTTCCTCATCCTCCTCATTTCTTCATCCTATTCACCCTCCTCTCCCTCCTCTTCTTCCTCCTCACTTTCCTCACCTTTTCATCCTCCTCATCCTCCTCATCTCTTCATCATCATCATCCTTTCCTTAATACCCAATCTTCTTCCTCCTACCTCTTCCTCATCCTGTCAATCTCCCCCCTCTTCCTCCCCTATCTTACTTTCTATCCTCTCTTCCTCCTCTCCCTTCCTCCCCACCCTCCCCTCATCTTTACCTTTCCATCTCTCCCCTCTCCCTTCCTCTCCCCCTTCCTCCCCTCCCCCTTTCATCTCACCCATCCCCCTATCTTAACTCCCCCTCTCTCTCCCCTTTCCCTTCTTCTCCCCCTTCCTCCCCTCTCCCTTCCATCACCCTCCCCTTATCTTCCTTCCTCCCTCTCTCTCCCTTCTCCCTTCCTCTTCCCCCCTTACCCCCCATCTTACCTTCTCCCTCTCTCTCCTCTCCCTTCCTCTCCCCCTTCCTCCCCTCTCCCTTCCTGTCCCCCCGCCCCCCGTCCTTCATCCTAACTTCTCCCTCATCTTACCTTTTTCTCCCTTCCTCTCCCCCTTCTCCCCCTCTCCCTTCCATCCCCCCCCATCTTACCTCCTCCCTCGCTCTCCCCTCTCCCTTCCTCGCCCCCACCCCCCTCATCTTACCTCCTCCCTCTCTCTCTCCCTCTCTCCCTTCCTCCTTCTCTCCCCCTTTCCCCCCTCCCCCCCCCTCTTCCACCTCACCCCATCCCCCACCTCACGTAATTAGCGCCTATGCAAGGAACAAAGGCACACACAGACCCACGGTTACACGAGAGGAAACATGGCGCGATCGATCAAAGGCGTTCGTAAAGATATCATGGTGCCGTCTGTGGCTCGGTTTCCGTTGCTGGGGTTGGTAGAGAGAGGGAGGGGGGAGGGAGGAGGGAGGGGGAGGGAGGAGGGAGGAGGAGGGAGGAGGGAAGGAAGGAGGGAGGGAGGGAGGGAGGGAGGGAGAGGGAAGGAGGGAGAAGGGGGAGGAGGGAGGAGGGAGGAGAGGAGGGGGGAGGAGGAGGAGAGGGAGAGAAGGAGGGGGGAGAAGAAGAAAAGGAGGATGGAAAGTAGGGGAGGGGAAAGGGAGAAGGAGGAAAAGGGGGGATGGGGTGGAAGAGTAGAAATAGGAGGAAAAGCAAAAGCAGAAGGGGAAAAAAGTAAAAAGGAAAGAAGAAAAAAAAATGAAAAAATAACGAATAAAAGAGAGAATGAGAGAGAGAGAATGACGAAAGATGAAGCGAAACGGAGAGGGACTGGAGGTGAGAGGGAAAAAATCAAATATTTTTTCATCCAACACAAATTGCCTTACGTAAATATTGATATTCATTTAACAGATGCATATGCATGAGCATTTTGGAGGCTATCTTAGAGTAAACTCACCATTTTTTCCCGACTCTCTGTAACAAAAGTTTCAGGCTTGCGTTTTATACGACTGTGGCTCCGAGAGTTTCCCTGCGTGCTTGTTTATATATGAAGTTTAAGCACGCACAAACGCACACCGCAACATGAGCACATATACGCAGACACGCGTGTGACTGTCTGTTTGTTTATCTGCCTACCTACCAGCCTGTCTGTCTATCTGTTTGTCTGTCTACCTGTCTACCCGCCAGCCTATCTCCTGTCTATCTGTCTGTCTGTCTGTCTGTCTGTCTGTTGTCTGTCTGTCTGTCTGTCTGTCTGTCTGTCTGTCTGTCTGTCTGCTACATGCCTTCTGTCTGTCTGCCTGCCTGCCTGCCTTCCCTGCTGCCTGCCTGTCTGCCTGCCTACCTACCTGTCCATCTATCTACCTGTCTGTCTCTCTATCAACCTGCCTGCCTGTCACCCTGCCTTCCTACCTACCTACCTACTTGCAGAGAGAGCGAGAGAGAAACGGAAACGAGAGCGAGAGAAACGGAAAGAAAATAAGAGAGCGAGAGAAACGGAAAGAAAATAAGAGAGGGAGATAAAAAGAGATAATGAAAGAGACGAAGAGAGACCACTTAATATCTAACATATCCGGAATCAATAATGTCCGGGCAGAGGCGACGGACTAATAACGGAAAATCACGGAAAAGATTCCCCCTCTGCCTCCCCGACCGCATCTCTGCTGGGACGGGTTGCGAAGGTGGCTGAGGGCGGCCGCAGCTGGTACTAATGCTTTATTGAGGATGAGGATGAGGATGAAGAGGAAAAAAGAAGAAGAAGAAGGAAAATAACAACAACAGCAACAACAAGGAGAAGGGTAAGAGCAACAATAAAAAGGGTAACAACAGTAACAGCAACAACAACAACCGTAACAACAATTACATCAGAAACGACAATAACAGCAATAACAACAACAATAACAGTAACGACAACAACAAACAACAACAACAACAACAACAACAAACAACAACAACAAACAACAACAACAACAACAACGTTACCACAAGAGCAATCACCCCCCCCCCGCCCCCTTCCCTTCGCCCCCAAAGCTGAAAGAATCCCACACGATCTTTCTCGAGCGGGAATAAAATAGAAATATTTATTTTTCTCTTCTTCCTAAGTGGATTTGATTGTGGTCCATTATTTTTTTTCGATCAATTACATTTCCAAATCAGATAAGTAATTTGGCATATGAATGACAAATAAATCAATTAGTAAAAGCATACATACATTCGTTCCTTCATACATTCATATCGACTTAATAATTGGGATAAAGTGTATGGCCATGCATACATATCTGTTATACACACATGTATGTATATGCACACACGCACCCACACACGTGATAAACAACACACACAAACAAACACACCAAAACACAACAGACACAAACACACAACCCGAAGACACTATCCACACACACAAGAAAAATTACATGACATTACAACCCCCACAACCTCCGCCACCCAAAAAATACATAAATAAATAATAAAAATAAAGGTCCGAATACACTTAAGAAATGCAGATAAAAATGTCCACATACACCAAAGAAAATCCACATAAAAAGCTCTGCGTATTCTTAAAATAATCCATATAAAGAGATCCACATACCCTTAAAAAATACAAAAAACACCGCATACCCTTAAAAAAAAACATCACATACCCATAAAGCAATCCATATAAAGAGCTCCACATACCCTTAAAACAAAAAAGCTCCACATACCCTTAAAAATGCAAAAGAAAATCCACATACCCTCAAAATGTACAAAAAAATCCACATACCCTTAAAAAATTCACATCGAAAGAATCCACATACCCTTAAAAAAATAAAGAAAAAGCTCCACATACCCTTCAAAAATAAAGATAAAATCCACATACCCTTAAAAAATATAGATAAAATCCACATACCCTTAAAATAAATACAGAAAAAAATCCACATACCCTCAAAAAATACAAAAAAAACTCCACATACCCTTAAAATGCAAAAGTAAAATCCACATACCCTTAAAAAAACAGAAAAAAAATCCACATACCCTCAAAAAATACAAAAAAATCCACACACACCCTTCAAAAGACCCCACACCCACAACAACGCTCCCAAGCACTGTACTCAC